CAAAAATGTATTCTAGTGGAAATGCTAAGTCATGGCCTGAAACAGTGATTGAGCACCTGGTGGGAAGGCAGGGCCAAGCCAGGGGAGCTCAGGTGCATACAATGCACCTGAGTAATGACCAGGAGGGCTGGAGTCAGGATCCACTCCTTCCACTCCTCATTTAAGAGATGGCAGTGGAGGTGAAGGTGTCTCTCTGGAGATCCCTGTATACCTGAGGCCTTCCAAAGGTAAGCAGTTCTTTTTCATTTGTTCTCGTGTCCACAGCTGATGCATTCGGGCTCCTGTCCTCGTTTGCTGCAGCTTAGGATTGTGCCACCCTGCTACTATTGTAGAACTTTCCATTACATTATAGCATTACATGTTTTAACAATAGTCTTTGAAAAGGAAAAGAATTGGATGAAGAAATGATGACTTGAGGATAAACCGCATGTGGGCAATATAAAGAACCCCAGCCTAAGTAGAAGTCATTAACTTATCATTATGGGAATATATTTGCAACGATCTTGTAAATAAGGCACTGTATTTCTAAAAGCAGAACAAAATAGTAGACCAATTGGAAGAAACTGCTGCAGAGCAACAACTATGATTATAAATCTCAAAACTTTTCACAAAAATATTGGAAGGACTTGAGCTGAGAGAAAAATACTCATGTAGTGAAGGTCAGAGAAAAAATGCAGGTGCCAGAGTCTCTATTCATTTAGAATTGGATGAGATCTAACAGGCTTATTGTATAGCAAAAAAAAAGTTAAAACAATAGATTTTTTTTTTCCTAACCAAATAAGGATGGATTATTAATTTTTCTAAGCATCTCTATCACTGGATTTTTTTTTTTTTAAAGAATAAGTTGGACTGATCTTTAGGTTGATCTATATAGCTGGACTTGTCTCAGGAGGGATAAGGTGCAGATCCGCCTGCACCTTATTTTCAAGATGTATAGCTAGAGCATCTTTTTTTCCTAAAAGTGTTTATTCATTTCTATGTAATGCAATGCCAAACACATTGAAGATACTCAAAATGCATATGGAAACAAACTGATTAAACTCATTTTTTTCTGCTTGTTATGGAGTTATCTTGCTGAGGCAGAGCGTAAAATAGAGTGTAATGAGAATGCCTTTTATAGAAAAGCTAAATGGATTTTTTTTTGGGGGGGGTGGGAGAGCTATTTCTATATAATTTTTGTTTTCTGATAACAACAAATCTTGCAATTCCCACAGTAGCCTTCTGCTGAAAATTTCAAAGTGCTTTTAGAAATGCTTGTAACACCTCTGAAGCACTTCTAGCTTCACACTGAAGATAGAGCTCAGAAAAGAACAGTTCAAGCTCTAAAACCTGGCCCTATGCAGGGCCCTATGCAGGCTTCTCAGTGTGCAGCTCATCCACTTGTCCCTGCCATGCCTGTTAATGTCACTGTTACTTGTCAATTCACAGAAATGTCTTTGTACACACCTCACCACTTAAACGTGGAATACCACCCTGTTAGATAGGGATATGTGCACAATTGCTGCCCTTTGCTGAAGACCTCTTCCAAGATAGCTTATAAACAGAAGCAAATAACTATAACTTCTGTAAAAGAAAGAGTAGCTGATTTTTATTACTACTAATAATTATTATATGTAGTAAGTATGCTTAGAAATAAATCAATAAATATAAAACAATTTTATTTCAATATCATTTCTGCTTAGGGCAGGGACTCGGGAGACTTGGCAGATATTATATTGTATTAGCCCATTGGATCAAACAAACATTGATCCAGGTAAGAATTGCTCATTGATAGTATTGAATGAATGTTATGTATCATAAGTCACATCTATGTCTTTATGCTACGTTCATATAGTTTGGAAGCCTGAACTTGTAGAAAGTTGGTAACCCTGTCTAGCTGATAGTTTTGCATTTCTTAAGAAATAATTACTTAATTACTGTTGGGGGAAGTCCTCTAATTCTTGTTTGCTTCACATGCCTGCTTTATGATGAGTACTTGTGCAATGCACATGACAGATGCTGTGTGACTGTGAGAATGCATCTCCTTGTTTATATTATTTAAATTAGAAAGTTCTTAGAGGTAAACATGGTTCAGGACATGAAGTCAAATTTTTAAATTTTAAAGTGTCACTATACCTATTCAGAAGAAAATACTTGCTGGTACTAGGTGTATTCACTGTCTATGAAAACTTATATTAGTGCTAACTTGCCTTATAATGCCCTATGTGATATTGTTGTTAGAGGCAACAGTGGAAAGTATTTACACAATATAGGCAAAAAAACCTCCTCCTTTCTAGGAGGACAACCTTAGCAAAGGACACTTCTCCAAGAATTAATAACCAACTGGGGTTAATGGTCACTGGCTTCACCCTAGGCCCTCAATTAATCCCCGAACCTCAATTGTTATTACCTAATTGACTTAGTTTCATTTCATTTTAACATTTCAAAGTGATCTTCCTAAAATCACCCTGACAGAGTAACGTGGTCTCTGTAGATGTGCGCTGACATGGTTTCAATATTGTTACTTTGTCTCCTTGCACTTGCATTGACATTTCATTTTGTTTTGACATCACAAAGCTGCATCTATGGATCTGTGCAGATGATATGTGATTGTTCACATTTGGTGAAAGCCAGGAGTGAGGGAGAAAGTCCAGGAGGAGAGCCTGATACCTTAGAGGACATGATGTCAGCTAAAAGCTGCTGAGAATTATTATTGCTATTATTGCAAATAATTGCTATAATTGTGAGCATGATTTTTATATTGTGAAAGGAAGAAAGGTAAAATTCCACTTGAAGTCTTGTTTTTTATTATTGAAAGTCTTTTCAGTTAGGCTATGTTTTTTTTTCTAAGTTGACCTGAAAAACATACCAGGTAATGCATTTAAAAAGAGGTTATTTGATATTACCATTCCACATTTTATTTTAGGCTGCAAATAAATTATGCAGATCTTGTGTTTCAATAGCATATCAACACAGCTAGCTGAGTACTGTAAGATACACTCTAAATCAAGAAAGGGATTGTGATAAAAATAGGACATCAAAATGAAGTCTTTTTATTATGTGGAAAAGTTTTCACAAAGTCTTTTGAAGCTCTTTGATCCAGCTTTGAAATAATTTTAGTAGATTACTATTGTACGAAAACCATAATTTATAGTAGCTGACCTAAGCTACTCTTTGTATAACAGCCATATAAGAAACAATAGCAGGAAAGTGAAAAACACAAGGGGGACTAAAACTGCTCTGTTTATTATTTAGCTCATAATTACATCTTCCTTATTTAATCTTTTGAATCCTGGCATGTTCTTAATAATACAGCTTCAAATAATATTTACTATACACAGGAGAGTTAGTTTTGAGTAACACATTTAGACTATCCAAACTTTGTCTAAGTTTTGACCTTTCACTAACCTAAGCAAGGTCTATTTTATACAGATCGTACTAGATAGACGGTTTCTCTATAAATGGTGAGGTTGCTGCCAAGCTCCCATTGTTAGCTAGCTCATTTTTCAGCAGGCACACTTTAAGTTCCTATCAGACAAAGGTAAAGAGCAAACCCTTGAGGTTTCTTCTTTTGTCAATGTAATAAAACAGATATTTCTGAATAACCTGCAAGTCTGAAACAACTGGCCCTCTGATTTACAATAACAAAATAGGTGTAACTTTTTTGCTAGTTAATTTTGTAATATTAAATTAATATCTAAGCAGCATAGGTCTTAACATAGATAACCTTATCTCTGAAATAACAAGTATGTGTCTGTAATGGGTCTGTGACCCACCCTCACTCGGCATTCAGAAGATTCTGTTAGAAGCAAGTTAGACTACTTCAGCTGAAGTAAAAGGAAGAATTGAGTTCAATTCTTATTTTTTTTCTTGACCCTGGAGTAGTTAAAGGCAGCTCTGGTAAATGATAACAACCTGTATGATGTACAAGCTTTTGCCAGAACAACTGTGATTTGGGAATGGAGCTAGTCATGCTTTCCCTTCTAAGCCAAGGAGAGTTTGGTAGAGAAAGGAAGCTAAACCTTTCACTTCTATAGACCTTCTTGTGGATGATTAAACTGCACTACAGCTCTGCTGTGTCTACTGTGAAAATGACTTATGCTGCACACCAAGAGAATGAAGAACACAGCATTGCACTGCTGCATTACAACAGTGCAATAGAAGGAAATATGAGATGCTTTGCCAGGTATCTAAAGCTGCTATTTAAATTAGAATCAACCCAAAATTGCTTGAGATGGTGGATGAAAGTGACTGCATACAGAACTGGAACCAGCACTCATCAAACCAGCACTCATCAAATGTAGAAACTATACATTGTTCAAAAGGGGAATGAGGGTGAATGGAAGGATACTGAACAAAATGAGTAAATGAGAAACTGTTAAATAAAGTAGAAAATGAAAATGGCAAGAAGTAAAGGGAAGTGGTAAGGGCATGGTAAATTCAAGATGTGGTGGGAAAAAACCTGAAAGCAAATACTAGGAAACTGAGGTTTTTTGAATGAGCAACAAAACAGGATAGAAATTATTCCTGTACTATCTATACTATTGTTTTGATTAAAAAAAAAAAGTAGTGAGGTAAGCACAGGAAAGCATCCCTTTTCTTCAGCATAGAGCAGCAGTTCTTTCCACTTGGATCAGGCTCTAGGAAAGGTTTATTTAAACTCATGTTAATAATGACTTCCCAGAACACAGAAATGCTAAAAGTGTTTTCTTTCTAGTTTGGACTACTCAATGTGCTCTGCAACAATTATAGTGTTACTCCAATATGAGGGAATTTTAGTTCCACGTTCAACACTACTTGCACCAATCTCTAAAGCTCTGAACAGGCCCTGTGACAGCATTTATAAGAGCAGATGCTTGGCAAGTCTATATATGCTAGTGGGAACATCATTTAGTTTTATGCGCACTTCTGTTTTCTGGCATGGCATAATTCATTAGCGCACTCCACAGAATACTCCATAAAACTGGATTTGGCTGTAATGTTAGAGTTCTAATGACTACAGCAACAAAAAACCCAACAACTCAGAAAAAAAACAGTATTCTCTTCTTTAATATTTAAGTTGATGTTTACAGCTGATAAACAGGAAATACATAAAGGACATTATACAGGTAGAGATCATGAAGTTAATTGTTTTTTAATCTTGTTTTCAGCATTTAAAATAGTGACACAGCATAATTTTTGTAGTGGCAGAGCTTGCTTTGGTTGCACGTGATTAAATGAGTGCAGGATTTTTGTGGTTTATTTCAACTTCATCTTAATACACAGGTTCCTAAAGTGGGCAATATATATAAAGATTAGGTCAAAATTCTGATTAAAGGCAGCTGTACTGCTCTCCAACCTGCTATGCCACAGCATTAGGTAGAAGAATAAACAAACAAATACAAGGCTAACCTGATTTATCTGTGTCCCCCCACATAAATTTGGTTAATGTAAAAACAAATAAAGCAAAGCTTTGATGGAGGTTGAGCAGAATTTTCAACATCTGTGCAGATAAATTTAATTTATTCAAAAAGAAGAAAACAGCATTAGTGCGTCATGTAAAAGCTGATTTAAATGATTTCATACAACATAAAGCATATGCACAAGCTAAAACAAATCCACATTGCCCTTAAAACTTATTTCACATAGACATCCATTACTTTTAAGTTTTCTACTATAATAATGTTCTTAATTCTTTTTTAATTCTGTTGATTTTGCACTCTCTGCTAACCTAAACTACAGTTAAAAGTCCCCAGGGCAGCAACACCCTAAATGCAGCAACATCAAGTAGGTACACTTCGCAGATTGCTTCTCTGTATCTTTATGTGCAGATCCATAAAGCTGGTCAGGTAGAATAAGCTAAGCACAGTACCTCAAATAGTTGTAAACAAACAAGTTGCAGGTATGAAAAAAAATATTCAAACTACTATACATTTGAAACTAAGAAAATTATCACTACATACCAGCTACTTACTCACTGTAGCAGAGCTATACTAACTTATCTCTGCAACAAGGGACAAGCACTAAGGCTAAAGATATTTTATTCCTGACAATGAAAAATTTATCAAAATGATAAACTCCAATCTAATGCTTACCAAAAAGTTTTGAAGTGACAACTAAAAGTTCAAAACATAAATACTGTGTACGCATCTGCAAAAAAACAGTGAATAGTAATAATTTTTTAACTCAGAGGACAGCAAATAGTTCACATGTGATTCTTGAAATCATATAGATGCACAAGTATCACCTCAACTGAAAAAAGATGAATAGGCACAGTAATGTTTTAAAGACGCTTTCCTTATGGAAGAGGTTATCGATTTGTGCTTTAAGAAGACTGTTATCATACCTCTAATTCCAGAACAGACCTGTACCTCTGCCTAACTTCTGTGAAAATCTGAACGTTGTGAACATACTTATGAACTCTTGTTTGACCCTTTCAAATACTTTGTCCTTTCTTTACAAACATAAATTCAAGATAGAGTAATAAGTAACGTGATTAATTTTTTTTTGTCCATTAAGCAACCTCCAATACAGAGATGAAAACTGAGACTAAATAATGCTGCCTGGGTGGTGCTGAGCATACAAAGAGAATGAGATTGAACTTTCTAAGACTTGAAGGAAGGCTAACATCCACCTCACTCTACCTCCAGTCTTGGTGGTTCCAGGAGGAGAAAAACGATGCTTTTACAAGAATACATGAATGCTCAGGAAACTTGCACCCACTTATATGCTTTATCTGTCCAGTGCTGTTTTATCTTTTTGAACTTCCTTTCTTGAACTCCAGGAAGATAGTCTTCAGAAATAATCCACGTAGAGAGCCTCTTTATGTTATTCTTTTTGATTTTAGTATGCCAGAAAATTGCATGTTACAGTACCTACGGGGGTTATGAACAGATTCCTTGCTTAAAGTCAGCTAAGAAAAAAACAAGGTATGGATTCCTGGAGGGAAGATAAAACAGAAGTTATTTTAGCATCATTCAGCTTTTATAAAAGAAATGATATATGCTACATGGTTCACTGACTAATATACTTTAGATAAATCCTTGCTTTTCACCTCCACCCCCTAAACCCCCCCCCTTTTTTTTTTAGTAGTTAGCTATTGATTCCATTTTTTTTTTTTTTTTTAAAGCAATCAGACAGCAATGAAAACACACACCAAGTATTCTCTCAAAATCTGGCCATTTACTGTAACAGCCAGAAATTATGATTCTGTTTTACCAATTGGGCTGAATGAGCTATGCACTGTATTGTTTTAAGCCTCAGAATAACAGCCTTTACCAATTTTCCACGTTAGGGTAGGTGTTTCAGCTAGATCACTAGTATCAAACTTGTGAGTGAAACCTTAAGAAAACTTCCATGTTTTTAAAAGCAACTGTAACAGAAATAAGTACTGGAAGTTGCACCTTTCAGCCTCTATATTTTTGTCTTTGTTTAAAAAGCTAGAAGAAGCCAACCGGAAGGAAGAAAGATTATGAGTATCTAGAAACTAGCTGTTTGACAGAGACAGAAATGCTGATAATGAGCGGGTTGTGTCTGTCTTTTTTTTTGGCTGATCACAACAGAGGTCTGAAGCAAAACAGAAACTCTTGATATATTTGTGTAAAGAGGCAGTAGCATAAGCACGGGCAGCAGGAGTTCAACTGAAGTTCAGGGCAGATGCTGCTATTAGTTTACACTGCAGGAAAGTAAAATTGCTTCCGGATTTACCTCTTCCTCCCACCATCAGCGCTGAGCCATGCTGTGTCGCAGAGTCACAATGTCAGTAGGAAAGCAGTCTTTTAGCAGGATGCCACGTTCACGATGGCAGTCCAGCTCTTCAATAAATCCATACCAGTAGATGACTAATCCAGGGCCAAATCTATCAAGCAAAAAGAATTTATGTGATTGTGTTAGCTGAACTTTAAATTCCCCACTTCTGCAATTCCAACACAAGTAAATCTTCTGTTAATATCACTACAGAGTTGGAGACAGTATTTGACCTCCATTTAGTTTTCAAATTTTAATCAATGTTGATATATATCATTAATGCCAGATTTCATGAATACAAATGATATTTAGAGACTCAATCTACAATATTTTTTTTTCTTCCTTGCATACCCTGCCCAAAACAGTAAAAACAGACTTGCATCTTACATATTAAATAACATTTAGTAACTTTAATACAAAAAGAAGTTTGTCTTGCCCTGGACTCAGCTTTTTCAGGTTTGGACATAAAGGCATTAAAAATATAGGGGCTGATTCAAATCCCTGTTCACACAAATTACAACACCATGAAGATCAACAATGAATCCTTAAAAAGAATTTCTACAATGAATTACTAGTCAGGTAATTATTAGTGTAAAACAGAATTCATAAAGAAGCAGAAAGTTTCTGCTGTAATCTCTGAAATGTGCCTGAGGAATTCCTCCAATATTACTAGCTCTGACTGATCCCCACCAGGCAATCTCAGGAAGTAGCCCTGTGGACTATTTTACCCATCAGGAAGTTCAGACCTTCAGGCTGGGTTCATAAAGAAGTAATCACTATCAATCACTGTGTACTGCGATATGTTTTGCACATCAGTTTCACGTTTTTCCTACTGAGAGCACTTAATTAAAGGGCAGCACTACTTTCGGTGTAGTGTTGCAGGAATTTTACAGTGAAATCATAAATTATGAATGTTGGGTTAGTAAAAGGATGTCTAAAAACAGAACTGCTTTCTGTAGTCTAGCATTACAGCAGTCTGTACAACATTAGGCCAAAAAGCTTTTTCTTTCCTTGATTTATTATATGCCGTGGTGAACTTGCCAAAAACAACAGAGCAGGATGAGCTGTTAGATACCGTCTGTACAAGAAAAAGTTCAATAGAATGTCATGTAATGGTTTATACTCAGAGCTATGCTCAGTACTCAACCAGTATGGTAGCCAGTTTTTGTTAAATACAATAAAAATGTGCTGGGGGATGCACAGTAATCTAAATGTCCATTCAGCAGACAACCCAAGCACTTAGAGATGCAGGTAGTGCCAGAGTGGCTTCATTAGGATGGTTTCTTTTCAATAATAGAGGGAAAACTCTATTTGATGTGCTCATGTAATGGAACAGGCATCAAAGGAAGAAGAAACCCCTGTGGCTTCCTCCTGCCTTTTCAATTAGATATGGTAGTCTTTTCCACCCCAAACTGCTGCATACTGTTGTAACATTTTGGTTTATGGCTACTGTTCTCCAACTTAGAAGTGGCTGCAGTTCAATGGCAAAGTAAATTACCGCTCTGCATAGCTAAGACCACATTGACAAATGGGATTTCTGCAACTACAAGATGCTATTTGAAACTGGAAAGGCTAAAATTGTGTCAAATTCAGTCACACTATCTTGCGTACTCCAACATACTAAGTACCGAATCAAGCACAGACAAAAAAAAAAAAAAAAATCACTCACAAAAAAGGAAGATAACTAAGTTTTCTCTGGCTGGCCAACAGTTTCAGCATCAACTGCCTGAGGATTTCTCTCTATGCCCACTTTCCGAGATTCATGTGGAACCTCACTGCAACAAGTGAGGTCCTACTCATAGCAAGGAGCAAAGGCCAAGCAGATATGCCTTACATACCAAGCAAAGTTATTTTAAAAAGTTAAAATCTCCAAGCAGGCCTTACTGACTTACTCTCCTGCATGAATTAGTTCATACATAGAAACACATAGAAATCATTAGTAGGATGTGCCAGATAAAAACTTGATGCTGATGAGCAGCTGCTTAGCCCAAGTATTTTTCTGTGTGTGGCCTTCTGAATTCCTTGCTCACACCATAAGAGGCAGTTGCTATATATATTTTAACTTACAATTTTTAATAAAACTAACATTTTGAGACTCCTCAATAAAGATTGTCTTTCTATCATCTCATCATTACAGAAAGTAAAATTCTCAGGAATAGTGTTTACTTTAAAAATTATGTTGAGAAATGCAAATTTGATTATGAACTTTATATACAGGAACAGCCTCCTATTGCTAGTTGCAAGAGCAATCACATGTTTAGCATGAAAAAAAATACATCAGTCTTGCTTTTGTCTGTTAGTGTCTACCCTTTGCTACTGAAGTTGCACACTTAGTTTTCTACTATATTGTATCATACCTTCTGTTATAGCCATATGTGCAATCACACAAAAAACATACCATACTTTTGTTTAAAAACGCTTAAGTGGAGTACTTAAGACCGAAATTAACTTGTTGTCACATTAAGCATTTGCCTCTGATGACCAGGAACTCCTGCTGCTAAGTGCTAATTTCTCTCTCATTAACACCCTGAGTTGGCAAATCAGAAACAATGCCACTGGTTAATTACTGCTGCCCTAATTTGAAAAGGCACTTAACCTTTTTGTGTAAGGGGATGAGGTAGGGAAGTTTAACCTATAAGTAAGAACTATGCTTCTCAGGTTTATTCCTTCCCAAAGCGCTCATATGACACCATGAAGAGTGAAACTCACTGTTGTAAATTGCGGAGTAAAGATGAAAACTTATGTCTGTACTGATCATAACATTTAACAAATTGTTGACTAACTTCTGTTTACAAAGGAAAATAAACTGCAACGACAGCAGTACTTCATATTGCTATACAAAAACAACTTATTTAGTAGCAAAGTGGAAAAAAAAAACCTTGGAATATACCAAATGATTCTAACACTGCATTACGACCATGTCTGATACAGACCGAGTTATCTCATTTCATGGGCAAGACATGCTGTTTGAAGAAGGCTTAACCTTTAAATGAAAAAGTAAACTTACATTTAACTAACTATAGACTCCTATGGATTTTGCTCTTCCTCAAATAATTTGTATAATATCCCACCTATATGCAAGTTGTGTTTTGACCCCTTTCCTCTGTCTTTAGTTCTTGTCCTGAAAAGCTTAGGAGCAAATCAACATGGCCAAAAGTTACACAAAACTGTAGTTCTACAGATTCTGGGGAAGCAACTGCTTTTTGAACTACACAGGCTTTTCTCTCAGCTGGAAAGTGATTAAAGTAATTAAGGTTTGGTTAATTCCATGTTTTGTGCAGTAAAAATAGAATCAACAAGTAGCACAAAGGCAGACTTTCTTCAGAATATAATACACATAGCAAGTAAGATTTGTGTGGACAAGCTGCATCACTTAAAAAAAATATCAATTAATAAATACATAGCTGCCATTATGGAAATTCTATTTCAGTTACTGTCTTGTTTTTACATTAGAAGCTATGAGTCCAAGGCAACCAAAGCAAAGCTATATGCGCTTCAGTGCACGGTCAGAGTGCCCAAAGCACCAAAAGGGAGAAAGCATAGACTTCTGACCCCACTGCTTGGCAAGAAGAAAGCAGGATCACAAAAGCACATGGATTAGTTTAGGCTGCTAGGGAACCGCAGCCTAATTTAGGCTTGATACAGAAGATTAAACTTAGACTAAGGGAAGAGACCATGTTTCTCAAAGAATAAACTGAAGGATTTAAGTTAGATGCAGGAGATAGTAAAATATAACTTGAATGTAACTACAAGCTCAGTACTTAAGATAAAACTTACATCCGATCATGTTACTCTAAATAAATCAGCCTTGCGCTAATTTGAGAGTCTTCAGAGAATCTTTTGTACTAGTTTAATTACACCAATTTTGAAATAAACTTCTTATAGTTAAAGGAGTATAGATTTGTGCATTGATAATCCCGGGACACCGTCCTTTGTTCTTGGAAAGAAAGTTTCACAGAAAAATGATGAAAAGCCAGGAATGTAAAATTCAGATAACCTGAAATAAGTTTGGAGCACAAAGAGCCAAATGGTTGTCGTTCTTAAAACAAACACACATATCTTTGTACGAGCCAAGAAAAAAAGGAAGAGGAAAAAAAAAAAAGTAAAAACCTGGCTTTAACCTGCCCTCCAGTTGAATCAGTTTTGTGCAGGAAAACAAACTTTATCAAAGTGGTCTTGTAGAATATATACAAATCTATTTCACTTCAATAAAAACTACTTTCTAGTAAAGTCATTTCTTCAAGAATGCCTGCATAAGGTCCATACTAGCTTCTAAGGACTTGCCTAGACATGTGGCTGTTCGCAGTTAATTTTTTTTTTTTTTAAACCAAAACTCCTTGCATATGGTTTTATGAAAAATGCATCTTCAACATACCACTCAACATTAACCAGAAATGCAAAACTTCTTTTAAATATATTTTCTATTTATTTATTCTTAGTCTATTTGTTATAGATGAGTCTAAACATCTCAGCGTAACGTAAATAATTTTAATTATGAGAAACTCTCATAATTAAAAGCAGTTATATGAATTATTTCTAATACACATATTTTTAGCAGACATATTTTATCAAACAGATTCAACTGAGCACGTGTTACACACAAGCACAGCAGTATATTTGATTGGTAATTTTAATTATGTAGGTTGCATTAAAACTTAATCTTTGAAGTACTGCATTTGATTCACAAATACATGATTCCATTCTAAGTCAATTTAGTGTGGTTCTCAAGAATCACAGTTTTGAGTTTTACTAGTAGTACTAATAGATTCTAAAAGGTAATTGAAAACTACGGTATCTAGTAAGCTTAAAGACGCAAGCTTCAGGGAATTTGTAGAAGTCCCATGTGCGTCAGTAGAAGGAACTGGATATTGGCAGAGCTAGGCTAGTAGGCAACAACTGCAGACCACATTTTCAGGGAAGGTCAATTGGCATCAGTCAGCCAACTTCCTTATGTCTAGACCACTTTACTACTGCTGATGACACAGCATTATATATCTTGGCAAACATTTAGTAGCCACTGCTCAGAAACTGACTATGATTAGCAAGAAATTTTCCACTTAAACAGGTACCACAAGCTTAGTTCAGAATAATTTGTAATAAAGTATTTCTACT